ACAGTGCGAGTGAACAGCGTAAGTGTACACATTAACAGTGCGAGTGAGCAGTTAAATATGAACATTCACTGCCAGTGTGTGAGCTGAGAAAAGGGTACTCTTGAGAAAAGATCATGATGAATTTTTTTCTGTTTGTACACCATCTGTCTTTATAGCTCTCGAATGAAAGTAATAATGTATTGCAAATTTATGTTGGACTGCTGACAGTTTTGTACATTGGGTGTTCAATCAGCACAAACTGAGTTTTTTCACTATTTTACAGCCATCAGCAAGTAATCTTTACACCAATTTAGACTGAGCTTCAATTCAAACATTAACCTCAAAGGTGTAATGTCAGCACACCCACCCTTAACTTTAAAACATAGCCTCAAAGAATACTTTTGAGATGACAAGGTTTCTTTATTCTGTCTCAGTTTAGAACTATGGTCCTGGCTACCAATGTTTAGGATTATGGATGAAGTAGGGTGATGAAAATAAACCACCATAAAATTACAGGATTCAATACTTTTATTTCTCCTTTATTCTATTATCATGTTGTTGTGTTTACTTCTTATTTTAGGAATTGATCCTTTCTTCGCCATAACAGTGCCATTGATGATCATCTTTGTGGTGCTTTTCAGTGTGGGTCTTGTCTACTGTATAAGGTATAGCATTTGGTGAATTACCCTCAACAGTAGAATGCTTGAGCTCTAAGGTTTAATTAAAAGTTATTCTTAATCTATTGCAAATATTAATGCCTATTTTGGCTATCCCGTGATCTTGAATCAATAGCAGAACTGAGTTGGTGGGAAGTTAAAACCAGGCAGAGCACTTCCTGCTTAGATCCTGATACTAACTCACACAAGCGATCAGACAGTATTGTCACAAACCTGTACAAACGGAGCTATTATTGGGAGACTGAAGCTCCAAAACAGATTTATCCTCGGCTTGAACGAGGAGACTACCATGGTTTTAATGCGCCTTTTTTTTTGCGTCCCACTATAGATCAATTAAAAGGTCTTTTGGCTCAGTGGGTACTACCTCTGGTACCAAGGCAGAAACTCTGGGTTCAGATCACATTTCTGGACATTTTGACCTTGGAGAAAACAGTCATGAAGTGGTTCAACAGGCCTGCTCCTTACAACATTTCTCTCCTATGCCCCACAGATATAAAAGATGACTATGAAGCTACAAAGAAACATGGCCCAATTGATTCATTGACTCAGCAGAGAGGCTGGACCATTTCCCATAACTGATGATTTACAGGATGGTACCTGCTTGGGGTCTTCAGCTCTCTAGTGGTCCATTCAAATGAACCCAAATCCAGTTGCTGTTCAGACTTCCTGACATTACCTCTGGGCAGCTGGCAAGTTCACTTCACCAAATTCAAATCTCTTTCTGGATGCAAATAGGAAATAAACTCCATTATAATATTGTTAACCCCATACCTCAATAATCATGAAACAGTATACAATATCTAACAATCAACTGGATTGCTGCTAACAGTAACACAGAATAAATCTAACATTGCAATAGAGTGATGCTAACTTTAAAGCATAGCATTACTAATACAACAAGGAGCTAACAGAGCGATAAAGTTCCAAAAAGCCATGAGCAGATGAATTGGGAGTATATGTTGGCCACTTGTTCCCTCATGTCTGCTTTGCCATTTAATAAGATCATTCCAGATTTGATGATTACACATTCTCTCCTATCTTCAATAACCTTCTGACCCTTACTTACCAAGAATTTGCCCACATATGGCTAAAAATATTCGAAGACTCTACTCCCACTGTGTGTTGAGGAACACAGTTCCAAGACTCATGACTTTCTGCAAGAAAGAAATTCTTCTTATCTCTTTTAAATGGGTGGCACCTTATGCTGGGAACAATGTCCCCTAATTCTAGATGCTGCTACAAGAGGAAACATTCTTTCCCTGTGCACCCTGTCAAGACTCCTCAGAATCTTATATGCTTTCATCAAACCACCTCTTACTTTTCTAAACTCTAGCAGATACAAGCATACCCTGTCCAACCTTTCCTTATAAGACAATCCGCCCATTCCAGGTATTGGTCTCATAAACTTTCTCTAAACAGCTTCTGCAATATTTACACATTTACATAAAAAGATAATACTGAGCACAGTTCTCCAAATATGGCCTCATCAATGCCCTGTACAGCTGAAGCAAAACCTGTTTACTTTTGTATTTGTTTGCACTCAAAACAAACAATACTAGTCTATTAACTTTCCTAATTGCTTCCTGTTTAGGCACTTTGTGATTCATGCATGAAGACATCTAGATCCCTCTATCTCAGAGCTCTGCAATCCCTCACCATTTAGATAATCGGTGTCAGGATGGCCGAGTGGCCTAAGGCGCCGGACTCAAGGAGTAAAGCCTTTCTGCAGAAAGCTGGATGTTCTGGTCTCCAACTGGAGGCATGGGTTCGAATCTCACTTCTGACACACTTTAGGGTGGCACGGTGGCTCAGTGGTTAGCACTGCTGCCTCACGGTGCCAGGGACCCAGGTTCAATTCTACCCCTGGGCGACTGTCTGTGTGGAGTTTGCATGTTCTCCTCATGTCTGCATGAGTTTCCTCCCACAGTCCAAAGATGTGCAGGCTAGGTGGATTGGCCATGCTCAATTGCCTGCAGCGTTCAGGGATGTGTAGATTAGATGGGTTACAGGGGGAATGTTCTGGAGGGGATGCTCTGAGGGTTGGTGTGGACTTGTTGGGCCGAAGGGCTTGTTTCCACACTGTAGGGATATTATGATGATAATTTAACAAAACCGTTGCATTAAAATACCATCTTTCATAACCTTCCCAAAATGTTTTTGCTTGAAATAATTAAGTACTTCTGAAATCTTCTCTGTTGTGATATAGACTAATGCAATTATACACAGTATGGTCCCACATAGAGCAATGATAAATGAACAGATAATCTGTTTTACTGATAATGGCTGAGGGGTAAGTATTGGCCAGGAGGAACATCCCAAACCATTTTTTGAAAAGTACCATGGGACTTCTTACATGTACCTGAGAGAGCCATGGTTTATCCTGTCTTCCAGAAGACAGCTCCTTTGACCATACAGCAATTTCTTAGTAATGTATGGAAATGAGAGCCTGGATTGTGTGCTCCATTCTGAATGCTTAGCTGGCTGACTTAAAAAGTGAAAGTGCTACCACTGTAACAAGGCTGACACCATAAGGGTGGTGAACAGGCAACAGAAAGCCACTACCATTTGCTGCTAATTTTTTCTTTTGTCTACAGTTTTCCTATGGGCTAATTTCTGATTTTAATTTCCAGACGCAGAATAATTCAAATAAAATTACTGAAGGGTCCTGATAAGATATTACTGACACTCAATGATGTAACATTTATAAACCCACAGCTCAGTAAGAAGGTTGGTAATTTAGCTCAATATTAATTATATTATCATTTATGTATACATGAAAATATATGAAATATCAATCTTAATTTTAAAAAATAGTGAGTTAAATCAGTAGGTCTTCATAACCATGTGTGTGTGCTATCATTTCCAATTGGCTCTAACTTTCTCATATTTCATTTTAAGAAAATCAGTCGTGAAGATAGTCAACTTACTGAAGGGGGACAAAGCCTATCTGAGACCAGAAGTAAAAAATCTCCCATGTGGTCACTCTCAATGAGAAGTCTTACTCCTGCCACTCATGAAAACTCAAACGTAGCAGTTTATGAGGTAATTACTGTGTTTTATATATATGTGTGTATGTGTGTGAATATTTGCATACAATCTTTTAGATGCAGCATATACAATTGTAATGCATAATAACAAAGAAGTTGGCATCAATCTGGTTGCTATTAAATCTTCCAGGATGGCTGAAAAAGGGGTCAAGTATGCCTGGTTAAAAGTAAAAAAAGTCACATTTGGGGCTGATTCTAATTTTATAGTGGGGTTGGGGGCAGGGGGGTGGAGTACATGCCCAGTGTGCCTGTGTCCCATTCAGGAAAAGTGGTAAAAGTAACTAAATAGGGCTTTTATGGTGCATATAGGGGCACAATTTAAAGGCTGGCACAACCTGACTGCTCAATGGAGATGGGAGCTGCTGGCTTCACAAGGTAAATATATTTGAAAACTCTCCTTGTGGGCCAAGAGGAGCAACACCCATCCCTGAGCCTGAACCAAACCCTGGCCAAAGACATTTGTTCCTCTTCTTCACCTTCATCACCCTCCTCCCTGTCCCACTGTGCGCATTCTCTATGATCTTCCCCTCTCTCAATTTCTTGGCTCCAACATGCCCACCACCATCCATCTACCGTTAGAGAGTCATGGTGTGGAGGTGTGGTGTTGGACTGGTGTGGACAAGGTCAGAAATCACACAACACCAGGTTATAGTCCAACAGGTTTATTTGAAAACACAAGCTTTCAGAGCTGCACTCCTTCCTCAGGTGTTAGTGAGAGGGGTAGCATCAGACACAGAATTTATAAGTAAATGATCAAAGGGTCACACCATGATCAGGATGTATTAAGCAAACCTGAGATGCAGTTTAAATCTTCAATCAGTTTGAAGGTTTTAATTGATTAATATGTATATTTAAATCCCAGAATTCCTTACAAGTCACTGTCATGAGAGAACCAAAGGTTTTATCAGTGTAAAGAAGAGGTGACATTTTAGGTTAGACAATGCATGTTAGGTGGGAACCCTTGTTTAGAATCTGTTTGTGTTTTGATTTGGAGTCAGACTGGTTTTATTTCTAAAAATTTATAAAACGCCACATTGACAGACTGTCTACAAATTGTGTGCTTTTTGAACAAAATAGAATGTATACATTAAAACCTTCTACTGATTGAAGATTTAACAGCATCTCAGATTTGTTTAATACATCCTGATCAGTGGTGTGACACCTTGATCTTTTACTTACAAGTTCTGTGCCTGATACTACCTCCCTCACTATCATCTGAAGAAGAGATGAGACTCAGAAAGCTTGCGTTTTCAAATAAGCCTGTTGGCCTATACCCTGGTGCTGTGTGATTTCTGACATTATAGAGTCATAAGGTCATAGAGTCAAAGAGCATGGAAACATACCCTTCAGTCCAACCAGTCCATGCTGGCCATAATCCCAAACTAAACTAGTTCCACCTGCCTGCACTTGGCCCATATCCCTCCAAACATTTCTTATTCATGTACTTATCAAAATGTCTTTTAAACGTTGGAACTGTAGCTACATCCACCACTTTCTCTGGAAGTTCATTTGACACATGAATCGCTATGTAAAAAAATGCCCCTCATGTCTTTTTTTAAGTTTTTCTCCTCACACGTTAAAAATATGCCTTTAGTCTTGAAATTTCCCACCCTAGGGAAAATACACCTGCCATTCACCTTATCGATATTTCTCATGATTTCATAAACTTCTTTAAGGTCACTCCTCAACCTATGTTCTAGTGAAAAAAGTCCCAGCCTATCCAGCCTTTCTTTATAACTCTCCATACCCAGTAAAATCCTGGTAAATCTCTTCTGAACCCTCTCCACCTTAATAATATCCCTCCTATAACAGGGCAACCAGAACTGCACACAATACTCCAGAAAAGGCTTCACCAGCGTCTTGTACATCCTCAACATAATATTCCAACTCCTATACTCAAAGGTCTGAGTAATGAATGAAAGCCTGCTAAACACTTTCTTACTCACCCTATCTTTATGTGATGCAAACTTCAAAGAATCAGATACCAGAACCCCTTGGTCTCTCTGTTCTTCTAATTCTCCTTTTAATTGTATAAGTCCTGCCCCTGTTTGTTGCTGGTATCATGCAATATCTCCTGTTTTGTGCTAGTCGCCTGAGTGTAGCAGGGCCACCTGCTTTGGGTCAATTTGGTTAGCTTACCCGTAAAGGATGAATAAGGACAGCAGGTGCTTTTCTGAAGAAGATCTGTTTCAGTTGATTAAATGTCAGATAAATGAATGAAAATATAAGCAGATTTAAAAATCCCAGAGAAGGAGCTGGCAGGAATTCACATGACAAAACAGAAAGTTTTCAAATGCATAATTGTCTCGTTAATGTCATATTACTGCCAGCAATAGTCTGCTTGCTGGAAAACAGTTTTAATTCTGCCAGTCTACTTAGCTCCTGACGTCATTACAGCGTTGGTCCAAACATGGATGGAAGCACTGAATTACAGAAGTGAGGAGTGAGTGGCAGCACTTGATATCAAGGTTGCATTCAACCAAGTGTGGCATCAAGGAATCTAAGCAACACTGAAGTTAATGAGAATCAGAGAGAAAATAAGTCATACCGAGCAGAAAGTTGGTTGGAGGTCAATCATTTCAATCTCAGGACATTGCTGCAGGAATTTCTCAAGGTAGTGTCCTGGATATAAACATCTTCGCAAACATTAATGACTTTCCTTTCACCATAAGGAAAGAAGTGAGCATGTTCACCCATAATTACACAATGTTCAATACCATTCACGATTCCTCTGATACTAAAGCAGTCTGTGTCCAAATGCAGTAAGATTTAGACAACATTCAGACTTGGGGTGATAAGTAACAAGTAATATTTGTGTCAGACAGGTACTCGGCAATAGCCATCTCCCACAAAAGAGAATCTAACCATTTTCCCCTGACATTCAATGGCCTTGGCATTGTCTGCAAATTCTGCGTTGTGTAACTTACTCCCTGACTCCCCAAAGCCCATCCACAATCTACAAGGCATAAGTCACAGAATTATTGCATCCCTACAGTGTGAAAGCAGGCCGTTTGGCCCATTGAGTCCACACTGATCCTCCAAAGAGCATCCCACCCAGACCCACCCCTTACCCTATCACTGTAATTCTGCCTTCCCGATTGCTAATCCACCTAAACTACACATCCCTGGACACTGTGGGCAATTTAACAGGGCCAATCCACCTAACCTGCACATCTTTGGACTCTGGGAGGAAACCAGAGCACCTGGAGGAAACCCATGCAAACTCAACATAGATAGTCGCCCAAGGGTGGAATCGAACTCAGGTCCCTGGCGTCATGAGGCAGGGCAGCGCTAACCACTAAGCCACCATGCTGCCCCTTAGTCAGGAGTGTGATGGAATACTCCCTCCTTGCCTGGATGAGTGCAGCTCTAACAACACTCAAGAAGCTCGACACCATCCAGGACAAAGCAGCCCACTTACTTGGCACCACATCCACCACCTTCAACATTCACTGCCCTAGCTCTAACACACAGAGGCAGCAGTGTGCACAACCTACAAGATGCATTGTAGTAACTCACCAAGGTTACTTTGACAGAAGCCTCCACCCAGAAGGACAAGGAATGCAGATACATGGGAACATCACCTTCTACAAGTTCCTCTCTAAGCTGTTCATCATCTTGACTTGTGACCATATCATCGTTCCGTTGCTGTTGTGCATCAGAATCCTGGAATTCCTTACCTAACAGAACATAAGAGAGTACCAGCCCTACATGTGCTGCACTAGTTCATGATAGCAGTTCATCCCACTTTCTCAAGAGAAATTTAAGATGGGCAATAAATGCTTGCCCAGCCAGCAAATACCCGCACCAAATGAGAAAATGTAAGAAAAGAAAAAAACATATTTTTGACTTTTATATCGTTACAATTATTTCACAGACATGTATTTGCCAATATTTTTACTAACAGTATCCCTTTAACATGTTTCTGATTGTCATGAGATTGCTTTCTTCTGTTATCGGTAAATGTGACTAGAGCTGTGATAGTTCATCACTAGGATATCACAACTTGAAATAAAAGAATTTCTTTTTTACAGGGTGATTGGGTTTGGTTGAAGAAGTTTCCTTACAAAGAATATGGAAATATTAAGCCAGGCGCAAGTGCCGTGTTTGAAATGGTATGTTTAAGAGGGAACAAAAAACAATCTTTTTGTTTTCATCACATTGTAGATTTGTGATTAGTGAGTTCAGTTTCTGCAAATGGCACTTTTTGAAGAGCTGACAGGGGGATACAAAATGAATATGGGAACAGGAATAGACCATTCAGCTTTTCAAGCAAGTGCCAAAAACCTAAGGAAAGGATTCCTTTTGGTTTGCCTTTAGAGAGATGCCTTTAGTCAATGGAGACAAAGTCTGTATAGTATAGTCAGCCAAGACAATAACTCGAGCCACAGGGGTGGGCTTACTGTTGGTGATGTTATGTGAATGCTTAACATACTTGCACCAATTTCTTTCTCCACCACTTTAACAAAGGGCTTTAAGTCTTTATATGATAAACACTGCTTACAGTTATTTCTACCTTATGATTTCATAGTCCAAGCATTCTCTTTTTACTTCTGAGACACTCCCTCCTTTTTTTACAAAACATTCTCAGAACCCTTGTAACATGATTCTTTTCCTTTAATAAAAATTAGTTGCACAATTAAAATGAAGAGCACAGGAACAGTGGGCTGATTGGTCTCCTTCTGTTCTCTATGGCTCTATTAAAGATAATCCATCACGTTTGTAAAGTCTGAGTTCAAGTCGTGTCATCCTCCAAACAGCTCACCTGGAAGAAAGACTTCCTCACAACTTCATTTAACAATATCTTGAATCCATTTGTAAAGACCAGGTACAGAGGTACCAGGTACAATTTGGCTTTAGTTGCATAGGAACTTGAAATAACTCTATGGAGGCCAATATACCATCACCAAGTCACCCTTTACTTAAGCATGCATAGTAGATGCATTCTGACCAGCTAGCTCAGAGTCAGTCCCCAGAGTAAGAAGGATCCCTGAATCTCCTGTTTATATCTGTCAGCCAGGACTTCCTGATAGGCCCAGGTTAACAACCCCAATCAGGGAACTCATACTCAACAAGATCCACCTGGCCAATCACTACAGAACCCTACTCCAGCCCATCAGATATCTTAATTAAATAGAAAAGTGTGACCCAAAGAAATCCACCAATATATTTGTACTATTTAGTATGACATGTACCAAATTCTGACTGTATTTGTGGATAGAATTTATTTCTAAATAATATATCATTTTATGCAAAGATTTTACGAATTCAAGCATATTAAACTCAGAATATACTCAGAATCAGGAAGTTAAAGCATTCAGCCATTTAACTTTATTTATCATCTCTGTGGTTACAAATTCTTAAAAAATTCACAAGTTTTCTAAATCTGTTAGAAACAAGAGGCTGAATCATGTGTTTCTGGCTAAGTGCAAGTTGTGCCCAGTTTTTTGGAGGATTTTCACCACTAAACCTAGTGAGTTTTCTCATTGTGTCTTACCAAACTCACCTTCATTAAATACCAACCCTCATAACAACTCTTATGTCCAATTCCAGTGCCACCTTACCAGGTGCCATTCCTGGAGAAATTTGCCACTGCTGGAATATTCTGGAATTCACCAGCAGCCCTTGTACCCGTGCCATCTTTTCTAGCTCATTGTGCACCTCGTGAAGCCCTGTCAGTTTGGAGCTGTCTTGCAGAGTTCCTGATATTTGTCCTGGACATGGCAGACAGGGGATACTATCGTACCTCTTTGTGCACAGGGACCTGGCGGTCCTGCTGGATGGGGTTGTGTAGAGTCAGGAATTCCTCTTAGACCCATAGAGTCACATAGTAATACAGCACAGAAACAGGTCCTTCCACCCAACTTGTCCATGAGACCAGGTATCCTAAACTGAAATAGTCCCTTTTGCCTGTGTTTGGCTAATATCCCACTGAACCTTTTCAATCCATGTACCTGTCCAAATGTCTTTTAAATGTTGCCATTGCACCTGCCTCTACCACTTCCTCTGGGAGCTCATTCCATGTAGCGCAAGTGGAAGCTGTGACACCAGACCATGCAAACCTGGTCTGAGATTTCTACCCAGGTTAGAGCAGCTGCAGCCATCTGGAGGAATGCCCAGAGCATAAGAAGAAGGTCAACAATCTTTTCAAGTTCATCAGCGTAAGTGCCACCATCTTCTCACTGATATCTCACACTCACTCTATCTCAGCTACTGTACTTACCTCCCACCAAGCTTCACGCTCTATCATTCTCACTAATGCCTACCAACTTGCTCTTCCTCAACTCCAACACTGGTAATCATACACACCCTCTATGCTGCCTATTCATTCACTCAGGACACCTCCCATCATGACAGAAATTAACTGTGGTACCATTCACTTTCATCTCCTGTAATACCTGCCTGCTTCTCATTCCAGGAGGAAAGTGGCCTCCAGTAGGCGAGAACGAGTTAATGTGGGTAGTGAGCAATGTTCCCTCTAAGCTACACAACTGGTCCAATGTTCTGCATATGGCGATCGGCGTCAGTGCTGATCACAATATCGTCTTCCGAATTCAAAAGTTGCTGCTGTGCATGGGCCTCAGAGGCCTGCACAACTGATAAGAAAATTATAGGGAATACTGGTAGGGAGCTGCCCAACACTTGGCTCGGCTCTTATGTGGAAAGCATCCTGACTCCAACTGCCACAAATGGCAGACCGAGCATGTCCAAGGCCCTACACTGCTATCAGAATCTACGCTTGACTTATTGTGTTGGGATCCCTGTTCAAAGGTCCCTTGTACAAAGTGAGATACGGTTATGACTATGACAAGCTTTCTGCCTTTGTATCTGCACTAAATGCCATGGCAAGACAAAAGTAATATGAGCCCGGTAGCTCTCTCTGAGGGGCCAAAGCACACAAAGGCAAGGTGAGTCAAAGCAAGGCAGAGCAGGGATGCCGTGAGCCACCAGGTGAGTTCAGAGTGAGTGAGAAATCTGACAGTGAATAAAGAGTCTGGAGACGCAGACCGGTCCAGCCCATGAGCTGGGTACGTGTTCCTGAGTACACAGTGTCCTTTACAATTTTAGTTGCTGGTGTAACCTGAGGTGCAACAGAAGCATACAGAAATTCCTTGGAGATGTGCCTTGAGGCTCTTAGAGGTTGGTATACATTGAATGCCAACATCCATGGATGTGGTGTACATGTGGCTGGTGCCCATGGATAAAGCCCTGAGACGTTGGTGTCTAGTATCTAGTATCTTTGGAGCAAGTGGTGAGCTGAAGTGGTCAGGTACCCACTCTGATTTCCATGTTGAAATTTCTCAATATCTATTGTTTGGAGCATTATTTTTGCAGACGAACCTTAATGAAAGTCAATGATCCAGATGCCATAAGACCATAAGACATAGGAGCAGAAATTAGGCCATTCGGCCCTTCGAGTCTGCTCCGCCATTCAATCCTGGTTGATAAGTTCCTCAACCCCATTCTCCTGCTTTCTCCCCGTAACGCTTGATCCCCTTGATAATCAAGAACCTATCTATATCAGTCTTAAATGTATTCAATGGCCTGGTCTCCACAGCCTTCTGTGGTAGTGAATTCCATAGATTTACCACTCTCTGGCTGAAGAAGTTCCTCCTTATCTCCATTCTAAAAGGTCTTCCCTTTACTTTAAGGCTGTACCCTCGGGTCCTAGTCTCTCCTACCAATGGAAACATCTTCCCAACATCCACTCTGTCCAGGCCATTTATTATTCTGTCAGTTTCAATTAGATCCCTCCACATCCTTCTAAACTCCAATGAGTATAGTCCCAGAGTCCTCAGACATTTCTCAAATGTTAAGTTTTCAATTCCTGGGGCCATTCTCGTGAACCTCCTCTGAACCCACTACAGGGCCAGTACATCCTTCCTGAGATATGGGGCCCAAAATGGCAAACAATACTCCAAATGCCTGGTTTTCTCGTTCAGCAAAGTGATTATTGTGAACACGTACATTATTTCAAATCACTTTTTATTTATCTAAATCTATCTTTCCTATGGGCACACCGATTTTTTGATTATCATTGACTTAGGTGAAAGATTTTCGACATGAAAACATAAACATTTTCCTTGGATTCTTCTTTGACTGTGGGATGCTTGCTATTGTGACTGAGTTCTGTACCCGTGGAAGCCTGCTGGATCTGCTGAGCAATGAGGATGTGAAATTGGACTGGATGTTCAAATCATCACTTCTGCTGGATCTGATCAAGGTTGGTTCTATTCCTGATATTATTGGCACTTCCGTTCCTGTCAACATTGTGGAGATTGTTATCGGTAAACTTTTGCAGCATTGTCTTACAGTAGAGGAAAGGTCAATTTTACATTGTAATAAAGAAATATGCTATTCTTTCTTCCTAATTAATCAGTCGCCAAGAGAGTAAAGGAGGGAATGTCTATCAATGCAACTCACAAAGGCTGTCAGGCACATTGATGCATTTTGGTGGAACTTGCTTAACGATGCCTGAGTATTTTAGCAAATAGATACATAAGGTTCAGATAAAGAAAGGCTTGCATTTCTATTTATGGCTCTTGTCAAGAACAAAAGATTTCATGCAATAACAAGGTGTAGAACTGGATGAACACAGCAGGCCAAGCAGCATCAGAGGAGCAGGAAAGCTGACGTTTTGGGTCTGGACCCTTCTTCAGAAAA